CGTTAAAAAATATAATTTTATCCTAATAAAAAATTATAATTTCATATTACTCTTTATTTTATGAGTTTAATGTATTCTAAAGTTTAAAATATAGTTTACTATTTGAATGTCTAATAAAATGTAAATATTTATATAATATTTTTCATATTACCTTTTATATAAATATCTNTAGTTTACCATTTGAATGTCTAATAAAATGTAAATATTTATATAATATTTTTCATATTACCTTTTATATAAATATCTACATTTTATTAGACATTCAAATGGTAAGCTTGATTTTTAACTTTAGAGTATATCGAATCCACAAAATAAAAGGTAATATGAAATTATAATTTTTTATTACGATAAAATCATATTTTTTAATGATTATATTAATAGATATCAACGAAAAGTGATTATGTGTTACACACGCACAAACGTCATGAGACGTAAGGGGAATATTCTAAATGTGAAGGAATTCAAATGATTAAGTGACAAACATGAGGGGATCTAGGTATAATTTATCAATTTAATTTTAGGTGCACATTGATACAAATTTCTATCTTTGAGGGTGCAAACTGAGATTTTTTATCTTTGGGGATACACATTGATACAAATTTCTATCTTTAAGGGTGTAAATTGAGATTTTTGATCTTTGGATGTACAAATTGAGATTTGAACAATCTTTTTAGGGTGCAAAATGAGATTAACCCATATTTTTATAAGAAATTCAAGTGCAAATGTTCCATGTGAAGTTTGTAAACTGGTGAAGAAGATTATAAAGAAATGGGTTAATCGCAAATTATACACTAAAAGATCTCCCAAATTTTAATTTGATCTCTTAAAGATAAAAAAAAAAATTAATTTATACCCTCAAAAATTTAAATATGTATCAAAGTACACCTGAAATGAAATTAACCGTTGTTAATTTGCCATCTAAAATTAAAAGATTAAATTATACTTAAATCCCCTCAAATTTTNAATGTAAATATTTATATAATATTTTTCATATTACCTTTTATATAAATATCTACATTTTATTAGACATTCAAATGGTAAGCTTGATTTTTAACTTTAGAGTATATCGAATCCACAAAATAAAAGGTAATATGAAATTATAATTTTTTATTACGATAAAATCATATTTTTTAATGATTATATTAATAGATATCAACGAAAAGTGATTATGTGTTACACACGCACAAACGTCATGAGACGTAAGGGGAATATTCTAAATGTGAAGGAATTCAAATGATTAAGTGACAAACATGAGGGGATCTAGGTATAATTTATCAATTTAATTTTAGGTGCACATTGATACAAATTTCTATCTTTGAGGGTGCAAACTGAGATTTTTTATCTTTGGGGATACACATTGATACAAATTTCTATCTTTAAGGGTGTAAATTGAGATTTTTGATCTTTGGATGTACAAATTGAGATTTGAACAATCTTTTTAGGGTGCAAAATGAGATTAACCCATATTTTTATAAGAAATTCAAGTGCAAATGTTCCATGTGAAGTTTGTAAACTGGTGAAGAAGATTATAAAGAAATGGGTTAATCGCAAATTATACACTAAAAGATCTCCCAAATTTTAATTTGATCTCTTAAAGATAAAAAAAAAATTAATTTATACCCTCAAAAATTTAAATATGTATCAAAGTACACCTGAAATGAAATTAACCGTTGTTAGTTTGCGATCTAAAATTAAAAGATTAAATTATACTTAAATCCTCTCAAATTTGTCATTTAATAACTAGACCCCTCACATTTAGAAAATATTACACCCCTGATATTTGTACAGTATAACACATAACTCTCTATCGTCAATATCCATTAATATAACCACTAAAAAATATGACGTCATCGTAATAAAAAATTATGATTTTCATATTACCCTTTATTTTGTGAGTCCGTTGTATTCTAAAATTAAAAAACAAACTTACTTTTTGAAAGGCCAATACAATAAAAGTATTATATAATGTTCAAGAGTATTGGTATTATATAATATTTTTTATATCTATTGCAATACATCACTTGAATAGTATTATTTAAATGTCCGATGAGAGAACACTTTTAGTCATATTTAAATTCGCAGGGATAGGTATAATATTTCAAATGTGAGAGGGTTCAAGTGATTAAGTGACAAACATGAGAGGATAAACTAGACGGCTATTAGTTTGAGGTGCATATTAATACCAATTTATATCTTTGAGGGTATAAATTAAAATTTTAAAAATCTTTCGGGGAAGAAACGACGAATCCAATGGAATTCACGGGAGGAAATGGAAGGCCCTAACTCTCCCAAAAGCAGTAGGAGGAATGGGCTTTCTGAACCTGAATAGCTTCAATCAAGCTCTAAACATTCTAGTGGGTAGAGATCTTGTTTCTGAAGGTTTGAGGTGACAAGTAGCTAGGTTATGGGGAAAAGATTTACATGTGGGAAGACAAGTGGACACCCTCACTGCCTAGCTAGCTTCTCAGTCTCATTAGTGAGACCCCCACAGTGCAAGTGCAACACTACACTTGTCCAACAGCTAATCCACTTTAGTATTCAAGAATTGGAATGAATCCCTTGTCTCACAGCTGGTTAATTTGCAGGAGCCTTCTCTCTCAGCAAACTACTGGACTTCCAACCTACTAGAAGCCTCATCTAGTGGTCGTCATGCAACGGAATTACTCAGCGGGGTGGCATTTATGGGATGGTCCATTTGAAAATCAAGGACCCAGTGGCAACGTTGCAACGGGCCTAGGGTGATTAGCATGAGTACTACTACTACTCTGGATGGTGCTCAGAAATAGTGGCCCAGGTCCAGAACCATGGTTGAATGATTCGGTGAGGGAATAAGGTAGAAAGTCAGATTAAAATTAGATGAAACTATGAAAGGAAAATGAAAACACAATGTGAGTGATTCATCTTAGTTAAAAAACTAAGGTTACCTCCGCTATAAGGGAGTCTCTTGCTCTTTTAGGGTATATATTGCTTGAAGAAGATAGATTACAGTACTTCGTTTGACTTAGAGCCTTTTACAAAGTAATGCTTTGAGAGTACAACTGTTGTTGTGTAAACAATATAAGAGATGATCACCATTATCCGTTCTACAGAATAATAGTGTCTTATTTATACAAATAATTCTTCTAGGGTTTCATGTGGCCTCTCTCTCTCTCTCTCTTGCTGATTTTGCAGACTCCTCCATTTTTGTCTTGTAGTGACCTTTGTTATATAACGCTACTGCACCATCAGCCTTTGAGCTGTTACGCGTACCAACATTTTCTGTGGCAAAATATGAGTGTGCGTGTTTGTCGTGGGTGTCAGAGATGATCCCCTTATCTTTTGGACACATGGCAGGATGGGAGTGATTCAGGGTCGACATAGAGGCTGAGGTCCTTGACTCTATATTGGGCTTCTAATTCTTCAAGTGCTAGGCTTTCCCACTTTGTGGCCCATTTTGTTTTTTGGATAAACAAGTGGATTGTTTAGATTGTTCTGAAAACAATGACTTTTCGAACGAATTGAGCTTTTAGATTAGACGACCCATATCAAAAATTCTATCATTATCAACTCTAATGCGGGATGGGATGCAGGGAAGTTAGTCAACAAACTACTACAATAACATCAACTTCTTCTTTGGCATGGCAACCCCCACCCACAAATCATCTTAAACTGAAGTGTGATGGCGCCTTTTCAATGACAACAAAGCAAGCCTCTTGTGCTGTGGTCATCAGAGATGAATCTGGACGAATGTTCGATGGAAGAGCAAAGCAGATCCCTTTCGTATCCACCCTCCACTCAAAAGCTGTAGCTATCCATGAAGTTTGTCTCATGAAGTTTTTCCCAGGAAAGTATCAAATCAACTTGTTATTTAGCTTGAAAGCAAACCTCTTTTCAAAAGTTTTTGAATCACCTAATAGAAGAATTTGAAAACAAAATAGATATGATAGTTCCATCTACGTAATTATCCAAAATAATTTTTAAATTAATTTTGTCTATGCTTTTACAAAATTTCAATCAAATTTTTAATCTTGTTTAATCTCAATTTAGCCTTTTAGTTTCTTAATTACTTCAATGTAGCTCATCCATCGATTTCTCTTAGAAAATTTGATGAAAAAAAGTGGTGTATTATTAATTTAGTTACTTGAGTTCAAGAAACAATTAGAAGGATTCTCGGTGATAAAAATTTTTTGAAAAAATTATTTCCAAACTCCTTAAAATTTGTTACTTAATCATTCAGATCTCTTAACATTTAAAATATTACACACATACCCCCTAAAATTTGTACACAAGAAACACTTAAACCTTTGCCCCTTATGTGCACGTAATTTTTTTTTTTTAATAATTAGCCTAGTGGTGAAATTCGAACACAAAACCTCCTACTCTGACACCATATTAGACAATCATCTACTCCAAAAGCTTAAAATGTTACAGAAGGTGTAACTTTAATATTTATACTTCAACAAAGACAAATAATAGATTTGGATCCAACAAAGAGATTTTCTCGTTGGAATATCCATGCTCACCATCTTGTTGGGGGAGCTTTTGTCCTATAATAATGCATCAGGACTAGTATTCCAGACCATATGAAATTCAGCACCTCTTCATAAAAAAGGGTACAAGAACTCAAACCCTTTTTAAGCCATCTGTGTTTTGTAATCGTAGCTCTGTTCTGTAAAGAGTGAGAGACCTGTGTAATAAAACTAGTAAATCTGTAGAAAGGTTACAAAGCGCTTCATCTCTATTGGGATCTTAATATTTTCTTACAAGAGGTCTTCTCTTTCTTTCTCACACACAGTACCAACATAAACCATGCATTAGGCAAAACATTTCCTCATACTCCAGGAACTCTCGCATACTCGAAAATGTCCACTTCTACGTGGCTTATACTTATAAGCTGATAAATCTTTTAGTTACTTGATGGCAATAAAATCTCAGCCCATTGAGTAAGAAGGTGTAGGCAAGTTGATTACAATGCTCTTGATTTTTGTCATCATGCTAATACTGTTGGTTATTCCTTGAGAACCGATCCCGCTGTCCCTCAAACCCTGTGACAAAGCAATGGTAAATATTTTGAGCAATGAAATATGGTGCAGTTTTGAGTACACAGATACAATACCTGATATCAGAAGTATTTCAATGAAAAACAATGAAAAAGATGGGATGCCAGTTTAAATGACAAAATTTGGGTACAACTTTCCAAGCTAATTTGGGAAAAAAAAAAAATCGAAGGGTGGACATGGAATGAAGGAGGAAATAACACGTCATCTAATTTTTACCACTTCATTCACAAATCATTTGCAAATCGATCTTCTTATGCTAGACATTGATACGAAACATGAAATACCAGTAGTCCATAACTGTAGCACAGAGAGAGATTGCACCTGGAAAGGAAAATGATCAGGTCCACGAGCTGGTGCAGAATTTATCTGAACTGTTCCTGTCTCCATTGCATCGCTAATCAGAATTGCTTTGTTAATGTCTCTTGTAAAGACGCAACCCTGCATTAACACATACGCTTAAAATTCAATAAGATAAAGAAAAAAAGCCACTTTTCCTGGCAATTGCCACAAAAAATTTATAAGTATTTCCTAGGGAGAAAGGGACATGCAATGCAGCTGTCCTTTAAATTCATTGCATCATTCTGATGCAGCAAAGATTGAGAACGAACTTTGAGTGCAAATAAATGACAACTCATTCTTGAGAAATGAGGACCTATGCTGGATTTTGTGCAAGTTATATTGTCAAACTTGGGCTACAGAATTAGATATTGTCAATCATCAGATTGTCAAACTAGCCACACAACTCTTTTCCTGTAATACTCTATGGTTTGTACCTTATACATTTGACTACCCCAAATTACCACTATATATATATATATATTTTAAACTACCGCTATATTGATCCTATAAAATATAGATGCAATAACCTTTCACAAAAAATATACATGCAAATGGTTTGTGATGGTGTTAACTAATGAAAGAGAGAGAGCAAACTAGAGCAGACCACTCTA